TTGATATTTTCCTCAGAAGGTATCTGAGGGGAAAAAAAGAACTCCCTTATTCATTTAAAAATCTCTAATTTTTCTACCTGTTTATTGTCTGTCATTTCCTCTAGAACTGTGCTGTCCAATATATAGTCATCAGCCACACATAGCCATTTAAATTTAAATTAAGTATAATTAAATAAATAATTAGCTGCAGTAGAGCCACACTTCAGTGGTCTGATAGCCACATGTAGCTAGTGAGTACTGTATTAGATAGTGTGGATATAGAACAGTTCCACCATTGAGGAAAGTTCTATTGGACAGAGCTCCATGTTGTTTGCCACTTTGTTCCCCGTGCCTTTCACGGTGCTTGGGATCCAGTAGATGATCAATAAATATTTGCTGAATAAATGTTTTTAGCTCATCTGTAAAAGCCATCATGCAAATATAAAGCAAAGATTCTTTTTTGAAATAGAAATGTTTGAATAGCAATCACTCTCAGGAGCTAAAATGCTTTCTCTGAAAAAGTAAAAATATTAGATTATATATTAGGTTGTACTGTAGCTTTGATTATTAATAGTTTTCAGTCATTGAGTATTTACTACATTCCAGGCACTGTTGGAAGTGTTTCATGCATAACTCCTCAGTATTCTTTACAACAACCATAGGATGTCTACATTATTTCCAATTTACAGATAAGGAAACTGAGACCTGTGTGAAAAGTAACTTGCTTGAGATCTTGCAGCTACTAAGTAGCAGGGCCAGAATTTGGGCCCAGGCAGTCTGGCTCCAGATGCTAAGCAATTAACCCCAACATTGAGCTCTTCGAGATTTAAAAAAAAAAATGTTTATGTATTTATTTTGAGAGAGAGGGAGAGAGAGTGGGGGAGGGGCTGAGAGAGGAAGAGAGCATCCCAAGCAGGCTGCGCACCGTCAGCACAGAGCCTGATGAGGGGCTGGGTCTCACGAACCATGAGAACATGACCTGAGATGAAATCAAGAGTGTGATGCTTGACCAACTGAACCACCCAGGCCCCCCTGTGATTGTTTTTAATAAGGACCACTTAGTCTCTTCTTTCCAGTATTCAAACGTCTATTTTCTTTTTTCTTATTTAGTTGCATTTAGCTAGGACACCCTAGAAAACATTACATAATAGCTGCTATAGCCCTGCATCCTTGTCTGGTCCCTGAGTTTAATGTGAAAGCTTCCCCCATTTCACACTAAGGTATGATGTTACTATTTTCTGATGATTATCTTGATCCACTTAAATAAATGTTCTTTTATTTCTAATTTACTATGAATTTTTAAAATTCAGAAATGGCTGTCGAATGTTATACAATGCATCCCTAAAGAATATCATTTGGCTTTTCTCCTTTAATAAATTGTCTGAGTAGATTTTCTAGTGTTAAACCACCATTCTTGGAATAAACCATATTTTGTCATGTAATGAATTCTTTTTAGTATCACACCACTGTTTCTGATACTTTAATACTCAACTGTCTGCAACAAAGTCATGGTGAGAACAGAACTTCCTCCCTTTGGGTACTGTTTGTTTTGGATTTTGATATTAGGGTTATGCTAGCCTTGTGAAATAAACTGAGAAATTTTCTCTCTTTTTTGGCATATTTCCCTAGAATCCAGCCAGGTTTGGGTACTCTGTCTCAACTTCCTTCTTCCTTCTACAATTGTCATACATAGTACCACCAGTCACTTAAGTTTGAGAATGTTTTCTCAGGCTAGCTCCCAAGGGTCCTCATAAACTGGACTCACCACCTACTGATCCCCAACAAAGACTGTTTACCATTCAATTTTCTCCCTTTCCTTGCACAGGCCACAGACATTCTGGCTTCCAAGCTTTTGCTAATTTCATGCCACTTGCCTTACCATTGAGTTTGCCATGGTAGATAAGGGGTGGTGTTGATTTCTGCTGAACTGAACTAACATTTGAGGTGGGAACTGTGTAGCTGCTTGACACCTATCTCTTTCTTAACCCTCAAAATCCTGGGAAGCTTTGTTATTTTTATTTTGTAGATAGGTAAAGGAACTTGATAAATTGCTATACACTAACGTATGAGGTGCCAGAATTTAAAACCAGGACTGCTTAATTCCAAAGCAATTGGAACAACATAAATCTCACCTCGTCCATTTTGTTTCCTGGTCATAGTCTCTCACGTTGATTTGTGTATGTCTTCCGTGCTCCATTAGCAATTATGGACTGTACTACACCATTTAACATTACCCTGTTTTGTATTGTTTGTTTGTTTCATCTGTGTAGTTCTTGTCTCGCACAACAGTTATTAACTGTTTATCTGGCTCCACATTTGGCTGTCTTTTATTTTTTAATAATGGACAATGGGAAAAATAAAAGAAGTAAAAGGTGACTAAATGCAATAATTTTGATGGTGTTAGTCTTAGCTACACATTGCAAAAATCCCTTTCAAAATAAGTTTAACTGAGTGGTCTCCCAGGGACTTTTTAGCAATCCCTGCAAAATTAAAGCCTAAAAACAACGAGAGATGACATTTATGAATACTGATCACCGAAGCACATTAAACAGTGACAGTTTGCTGGAAATCACACCTACAGCACTGACTTCCTAACAAGGAAAGCTAGAAGATGCAGCAGTCTCTCAACTGCAGGCGCAACCCGGCTTTCCCCCTCCCAGCTCTGCCAGATGGAACTTTCCCTGCGAAAGCTTTGACGGAACGCCCGGTAGGAGTCACGTGGAGCTGGCGCGTACTCCCGCGCCTTGCGGAATGACGCGAGGCTCGCGTTGCCAAGGGGAGGGGCAAGGCGCCGCGGAAGGGGCGGGGCGAAGGAAGCCAGCCGGGGAGGCGGGGCCGGTAGAGTAGAGGGGCGGGCAGAGAGGGGCGCGCGGGCGGGGAGGGCCCAGCGTATTATGGGATGCGGCGGTGGAATGGCGCTGGGCGCGTGATTTTGAACAAACCCGGGTCTGTGTCTCGGAGGCGCCGCCGCCGCCGCGGCTGCTGGGAGCCTAGGGAGCGCGGCGCGAGGAGCAGGCGGCGGCGCCGCCGGCTTTGGTAAGTGTCAGCTCTGGGGGTGGGGACATCTGGGCGGGCGGGAAGGGGGCGCCGGCCCCCACTGCGGGTGGTGGAGCGGGCGGAGGGCGCCGGACCGCCCCTTCTGGGAGCCTGGGCTGGTGGGTCTTGGCGGAGAGCGGGAACCTGGCGCCCGGGGCTGCCGCGCTTCATCCCCGGGCCTCAAGGGGCGGGAGACCCCTCCCGGCTCGGCCTCTTCCCGCCTGCACCCCGGAGGGCGGCTGTCACCCGGCAAGGCCGGCGCAGGGGCGGCCGCCCGCCCTTCCCGGCAGTCTGGAGGAAGAGTTCCGGCGGCTGTTGACACGCACCTTGCGTGGCCAGAGTAGCAGACTGTGTCAGCCTTGGGTTTCTGGGAACCGGTTTTGCTGCTGTGTCATTTTGTACCAGCCTCTCCTTTCCTTGCTGCCCGCCGCCCCGTTCTTCCTGCGCCCCTTTGTATGATCTCTTATTCGTGTGTGTCCGTTTTCCTCGCGAAGCCCACCATCTAAATGTCATAATGTCCCCGAGGTGCACGGGGAAAGGGAGCGGGCCGGGACTTAGCTTGGCCAAGCAACGGTAAACACCAAGCACAGTGCGGATGGACGGGGCTTGCGGGGGGTGGGGGTGGGAATAAAGTTTAAAGACGAAGAAACTGGGAACACTTGAGACTCTCATCGTAGTCTAGCAGGCTGCATAGGTAAAGAGCGATTGGGCTGGGTGGTAGATAGCACTAGTTTAAAGCCTGAATCTACTGGCTTTTATATGGAGTTGTCATTCAAGAAAGGTAAGGAAATGAAATGGTTTTTTCAACTTCCACCTTACTTAGACGAACTTTTAAAAAAGACAGTAGACTGACCCTGTTCTCAACCTTGAAATTCAGTTTGCTCATTTCAGGTAGATCTTTCAGAGTATATACTGTAGTTCAGTAGTGGGTTTAGAATTCAGCTTTTGAATGGGCGATTAGCAAATCTTTCTGAAAATAAAAAAGGTAACCAATTTAGTTTTTTGTTTTTGCTTTTTAATTCTGTCACAAGCCTTGCAGCTTATGGTTTTGTGTTATTTCTAGGATGATTAAAAACTGCTTACGTTCTTTTTTAGTTATTAATCCGCATAATGAGAGTAGCTGGTGGGAAAGATGGGTAACTCTGGGGTCTTGTTCTAAAGTAAGCTGTTTATTTTCTCTATTGAACAAATATATCTGCGGCAGATTTTTTTTTAATTCAGTGATTTAGATCTTAATATTTGGCAAATAATTTTTGTTTAGAGGTGTGTTTCCTGTATTTTAGAAATTGTTCATTCTTGATTAGGATCGATATATTTTAAACCTACTTGGGCTTTGACGCCTTAAACCAATGACAAATTGGAAGTCAATGTACACGGACAGAAATGATCAGATGAAATTAAGTGAAGAGAGAAATAGTTGAAACTTTATTTTTAAAATTAGTCGTCTTGACCACATTATCAGCAGGAGGATCAGTGCCTGTAATTTACAGATGTGACGGGGAGATAAGACATGCATATGGAAATGGATCGCTCTGTCAAAGTAGTGCTGAAGTGGAGGAAAACGTCAGTCAGTCGGTGAATGACATTAAAGGTCTTAATCATGTTTTTAGTATCTGAAATGAGCACAGTGAATAAAACGCATTGCTTCATCTGTCTCAAGTTGCTTTACTGAAAATGAAAGTGTTTGGATTCTTTATTGTCCTTATGCCGCCTTCCGTGTGGCTTTTGCTCTTCAAAACAAAAATATGCCGGACTTGGGACTCGGCAGGTAGAGGGACTTCCTTTCGCGTAGCTGCCGGGCCCGCAGAAGCACCATTTTTCGCTGTGGGGTGAAAGGTCTCGGCGTGGGCTGTGTGAGCGCTTGTATCTCCCTGTGCATTTGAAGGTTGGCGGGGCGGGCGGGAGGTTTCCCCGGATATGTGGGTGTGCGCCTCTCCGGAGGGGAGGGCTGAGGAGGGGAGGAGGAGGAAGGGGGAGGTTACTGGCGGCGGCGGCGGCGGCGGCCCGGGCTCGGGCTGTCGGGGAAGCTGCTGAGCTGTGATGGTGATGACGAGGTGAAAATGGCGGATCTTTCGAAATACAATCCCGGCCCCTGACATACCAGAGGCGGCGGCGGCGGCGGCGTCGCCACCCGGGCTCCCTCCTCGGCCCCCGGGTCCCCTGTAGCGCTCGAGTTCGGGCAGACTGGGAAAGGAAGCGGCTGGCCGGAGCTACCGTGCACAGGCAAAACAAGCACCGCCCGGGCTCGGAATTGCCCGGGACCTTCTGGAGCCCCCACCTCGGAGCCGGAGGGAGGAGAAAGCGGCAGCCGCTGGAGGTAGAGGGGAAGGGGGTATCCGAGGGCTTCTCTGCACTGAGATCTCTATTATTTAGGGGGGTGGTGGGTAAGGGAGGAATTGCGTTGTGGATCAAGGAATGACTAGTCCAGAGTGCAAAGAATCAGTAGCCTCGTAATGACATCAACATTATTCTATGAGTGTTAAGAGGGCTCGAGTTTGCTCTTATACCTAAGGCTGCTGCTGAGGCCTAGAGGAACCACTAGCACTTATCATGATTTCCTTACTTAATATTTAAAACATCCACTGTGGCGGGTGTTGGTATGGTGATGTTCAGTTTTATAGGGGTCTATGTTTCTTTAGGGAGGCAGAGCATAGGCATTTTATTCTGCATTTAAGCTCTGTGTCTTAGATCGTAGTCTGTAACTTGTTGGGGTGTGGATGCTCACATTTTTTAAACATATGGACCAGTTTTGTTACAATTAAAAATGTCTTTTTCTTTTATGGCTCTGTCATCCATAGAGTGACCCCTTTGCCCCTGCCGTTTGGCAAATAACAATTGAGATACTGTCAGTCATATTTTATATCCATGTTTTTCCCTGCCCCCCCCCTCCATTTCATGAATTTGGAGACTAAAGTTATGGAATATTTTGCAATATGTAGATTTTATAATCCAAGGGAAATACAGCTGTGGGAGTTCTATTTTGACTCACTTTGTTGTTAAGGAAGTTGTGATGGCTGGACATTAAGTTGGTAGAGATGAATAGAGACCTCTGCTTTTTTCTGAATACTGGACTTGTTAGCTCTTTGTTTAAAGGGCTGGAGCATTGGAGTGATTGACTTTATGATGGCCAAAGTTTAATTTTGTTTGGTTACCTAAAGATCCAGGTATGTTTTAGATTGTGCTACAGATCCCTCAGGAGTGTTTCTGCTTCCATACACCAGTAGTGTTACTGAAAAGTTACATTTGAATCAAATTTTTATACATTAATTTGGGCCCTCTAGTTTTCCCAGCTTTTGTAGTGTAAGGTTGGGTTCAGTGACGTTGAATATATGAGCCTGAACAGAGAAGTGAGTATTTAAGAAATGCCCACTGGTAATGTTTATGATTAGCAGTAATTTTCCTTATCCAAGTGTCCTACAAAGAGATGATGTCATACAATGACATACAATATCATACATCATGTGTTTCGTTCAGAGGAGAAATATTTTGTGTGCATGTGTGTATGTAGCCTAGCCATTTATTTGGCTTTCACTCATTAGAAGAATAAGGGACCAAAAAATTTTTGGAGGAAATAACTGTGGAGGTACTCAGAAGCTTTAGTGAATGAATTTTTTTGTTAATCATTTGATGTTCTTGTATTATCCAGTCGGGATTTTGTTCTGTTTTTTTCTTACAGCTTTTATGTTGCAATTATTTGGTACATGTCAGTTAGCTGCTAAGTTAGTAGCAAAACTCAGAATTTAAAAAGTAATTAAGGAGGGAGATTAAAATGCTTTTTCATTGGCTTTTCTTTTAATCACAGAGGACCATTGTCTTTTTTGATTCTTTGTGATTGTCTTTAAAGGCCAGTTTTCACCTTGTTACAGTTAGAACAATTTGTCTATTACTAGTTAGAAGTATGCTAGAAAGAGATGAAGAGTTATGCTACTGGAGATAGCCTAGTGTCTTTTTTTGGGGGGAAGAGGAGCATTATAGATTTTCATTGCTTATTTCAAGTGTTACTATTGGATATCTTTTATATGTCATATACTGTGCTAGGAATAGAGGATACCTCAGTATCATCGTCTCAGGAAACTTTCAGTTTAGGAATCCATGGGAGATAAAGTTGGAAGGATGGATTAGGTAGAGCTTTAATGCAGAAGACCTTGAGAGTTACAGAAAATTTAATTTTTTTAAAGTTTTATTTAAGTAATCTCTATACCCCATGTGGGGCTTGAACTCATGACCCTCAGATCAAGAGTCATATGCTCCTCCAAATGAGCCAGCCAGGCACGCTGACAGTTACAGAACATTTTTTAAATTTTTTTTTTTTTTTTCAACGTTTATTTATTTTTGGGACAGAGAGAGACAGAGCATGAACGGGGGAGGGGCAGAGAGAGAGGGAGACACAGAATCGGAAACAGGCTCCAGGCTCTGAGCCATCAGCCCAGAGCCTGACGCGGGGCTCAAACTCACGGACCGCGAGATCGTGACCTGGCTGAAGTCGGACGCTTAACCGACTGCGCCACCCAGGCGCCCCTTTACAGAACATTTTTAAATAGGAGAGTGACAGCCTCAGAGATGCACTCGAGAGAGATACGTTCTGTAACTTTTCTGTAGAATGTGTTGTAGGTTAAAGGAGATGGAGGTAAAGATACCATAGTAGGTTCCAAACTTCAAAGATTTAGCAATTCTTGGTTGCAGTGGGAAGGAGACATAATAAAGGTATAATATGCATGTATATTACAGATTAATAGTTGTATGAAGAGACATCAAAGATGATAAGATCTTAAGCCTTACTGTTTGGTAGAATATCGAATGTGGTACACTATTAACTCAAATGAAAATTCTTTTCCTCTTGCTCCATCTAAATCATAGTAACCCTGCAAGTAAATGGAGGCTTAGAGAGATTACTGCTTGGGGTTATGTGTTAAACAACTAGGAGAGCCAACATTCGGAAATGAATCTTTCTGATTTGAATCCCCATGTTTTATCCACCATGTTAGTCTTAAGCATGAATAATATACATATATATAGTTCTTTAAAGGGAAGAAAGTGTATAGGTCCTTAGTATTGGCCTAAATAGTTTTATTAAAATAAAATATTTAATTTTTAGATGTATATAAGCATAAATTCTTTATGTTTATTGCTTTTAGTAAGTGTAAAATGCAAGTAGATTTATAAATGAAATAGAAACAAAACTACAAAGCCAGTAAAACAAATTAAATTTAGGGTAATGGATGATTTTTTTTTTTTTTAACATTTATTTTTTGAGAGACAGAGCACGCACGAGCAGGGGAGGTGCAGAGAGAGGGGGAGACACAGAATCTGAAGCAGGCTCCAGGCTCTGAGCTGTCAACACAGAGCCTGACGCAGGGCTCGAACTCACAAGCCATGAGATCATGACCTGAGCCAAAGTCAGTCGCTTAACTGACTGAGCCACCCAGGCGCCCCTGGATGATGTTGTTTTGCTGAAACAAACTCTTTCTTTGCATAGTGAATATACTATTGCCCGCCTTGGCAAGGTGTGCAGTTTTCTATATACTGTATACCCTGTGATATACCACTTTTCTCTGTTTGAATGCTGTAAAGCTTTCCTCCTTAAATCACAGATGGTTTGGCTTTTACTTAGCATAAATATATCATTTACCTTGTAAGACCCTTCTGTGCATTTTTTTTTTAGACCACCCTAATTCTAGTACCATTGATTGTGAGTATGAGGTGGTTATTCAGATGATCCAGAGTACACTATTTAACACATATTATCAAAATGAAAATACAGACTTTTCAAATATTCCTCAGGAATAGTCTAGTCCTCCCAGTTTAGTTTGAGAAATGTAGTTATGTACTTCGTTTTTTGAGCTGTCAGTGTTTGATTTTAGAAATCCGGGCTAAAATCCAGATGTTATAGTTAACCAGTTAGTGCTGGTGGTAAGATTTAGGTACAAAAGTATAGCTCTTATTACTCAGATATTTTTGTCTAATCTGACAAATTATTCACCTGTAATATGACAATAGGTCACCACTTCATAATGTTATATGCAAGGATGAAAACATTTGTTCACCCAGGTTGTCCTTCACCTATAATTAAGAAAGTAACAGTGTTTCAGCACTGATAATATTCCATGAGAAACTTTTTATTAGAGTGCATGAGTGGAGGGGAGGGACAGAAAGAGAGAGAGAGAGGGAGAATCCGAAGCAGGCTCCATGCTTAGCACTGAGCTTGACACAGGGCTCAATTCCAAAACCCTGGGATGGTGACCTGAGCTGAAATCAAGAGTCAGATGTTCAACCAACTGAGCCACCCACCCAGGTTCCCTTCCGTGAGAAACTCTTAAAAGATGTAAAAGCATAGAGCATTTGCCATTTCTGTCTTATGTTATTTTTTATTTTATATTTATTTATTGTAATCATTCACTATCCTAAGTCAAACCCTCCATAAATCTCTGTCTCAAACTAATTACTGTAATAGCCTTCTAACTGGTCTCTCTGCCTCCAGTCCACTAAAATACTGAGATGAAGTTAATCCTCCTAGAGTACAACTGTGATCATGCCATTCTACACTTGATCTTAGCCAAAAGGCCGAGAAGCGATGTGATCATGCCATACTATTGATTTCTAAGCTTTGTCAGGGCAAGATCTTTGGTTAATTATCCATAATGCCCTTACAAAGTTGGGAAGCAATAAGTATTTGTTAATTAAATGACTGATAACAATTTTAAAATGGTTAAAAATTAAGAGAACCTTATCAATTTTAAGATGAATATAATTGCAGAGGGTATTAGTTAAAAGTTAATTCTGAGTATTTAAAAACTTATTTGAAAAGGAATTTCTCAGTTTGTGCCTTGTGAACTTGTTATTTTATTTGAAGTGTTGTGAAGTCTTAGAGCATTATATAAACCTGTCTTACTCAAATAGACAAACCAAAGTTATCTTTCAGACCCCAATGTAAATAATGCTAGAATTTTAGATGATACCTCTTCTCCATGATTAAATGATTTATTCTTCAAATTTGTATTGAGAAGTTATTATGTGGCAGCTCTGTTCTAGGCATTGGAGATATGGGATCCAGTGATGAAGACAGACAAGTCCCAGTCCTCATGAAGCTTGCATTCTAAAGAAGTAGGGGAGGAAGAATCAGACTATAAACAGATACTTTCTAGTGGTAAATGCTATGATCGAAATACCAGGGTAATGTGACAGAGTGCCTAGGACAGTGGAGATGAGAGTGAGGGTGCTTTTTTAGGTAGAACTTAAAATGTAATATAATTGGATATATTAGAAATCATTAGGTTTTCTGAAATCAGTGAATTTTTAACTCTCATTAGACTTAAACCA